ATTGGCACAAGAAGTCCATTCATTCATTTATTTATTCATTCATCAATTTGCTCGACGCGCGCGACGCTTATTTGTAAAATTAAATCGGAAATTCTGAAAAATCACATGTTTGTGGATGAAAGGAATATTTTTAAGACTCGTTGCGCTACCGCGCCGCAAAGAGTCAAGCAAAACACAGAGGTTCCACTGGGCCACCCACAAAGAATATATTCTTTCATCTCGTATCTCGTTCCTCTGCTGATTCCAGCGTGCGCGCGCGCGCGCTTTACTTCGCCCATATTGCGCACCACGGCTCTCTTGTACTCGTACGCGGCGTTTGTTGATCGACGGCGCGTTGTATGTTTGCCTTCTGCGCGCTCACCACATTTTTATTTCACGTTGCCGTGCGTTTCATTTGCCGAGTCCTGTTTGCTTAGGCCATATTACAATCGGAGAACTTGCTCAGCTCACCAACTCGCTTAAGCGCGCTGTTCCAAAGCCAATATTGGTCTAGTCGAGGGTAGAACAATGGAGTGAGAGAGATACTCGACCCATATGAGAAGCGTGACATTACTCGGCGATTAAAACAGTCAGAATCCCTATAAATTGCTACGCTACCACCACATATGGCATAACTTTTATTCCTGATTCGCTGATTTGCTTTCCATGGGGTAGATTTCTCCCATACGGGTGTTCGGTACTAATTGGCCATATCCATTATTACATCGGAGGGGTAACTGACCCATTTTTGAGGTTTTTATGTCTAAATTTTAAATATCACGCTTTTACGGAGTAATTTTTTTTCTGTTCTTCATCTTCCCACAATAATTCAATGAAGTTATGCACTTGTGCATCGATTTATTGCTCCCCGACAGCCCATTAATATGCGTTGGATTTTTTTCCGCCGGCCCCTGTCAATGTTAATAATACCCAGCGGAAAGCAACAAAATAGGGTGCCTCCAGCTTCCCGGCCACACCTCGGTCCGGACCACAAACACTTTTCTCAGGCGCGTAAACATGGCATTATCAGTGTGAATCGCGTCTTCACCGGTTTACATGACGATGAACGCGCGCGAGTACACAACAATAACGTGTGGGCGCCCACTCTACACATATTTTAACTGTTATTACTGGGTGTTTTCATAAGTTAAAGATCTTGGTTTTTGTTTCTTGGCTCCCGAAGAAACATGAATCATGTTTTTGTGCCAAATTCGTGATCTATGCGCGCGCGGATTGCTGGCAACGATGTGAAATTGTCTTGGCTCGGCGTACAATGCTACCCTGATGATCATGGATTAATGTGCCATGACTTCGTACGAATATGCAATGCATCACGTCGGCAGCGGTGCGGTTCCAAGTTGTGTTTCTTCACAACCCGCCGGCCACGTATCACCGAACGTGCTCATAAAGCAATCTGTCCACGATTATTATTTTTAATAATACGCCGCGCACACGAGTCCATTATTATAAGCAAATATATGTCGGGATGTGGGCTGGTTGAAGCAGGAGCGAGGAATACCAACTACGATGAAAAAGAAAAAAAACGAAGAAGACAAGTCGCGCAACATGCGCGAGGGTGGTGTGGGTGCGTCCCTTATTTTTAAACTCGCGTCTAGACTCGCCTCAGACTCCGTCTTGTTTCTAACCAAGTATCGTCTATTCTCAGCAACACTGCAATGCTTCATGCCTGACACGAATTGATGAATAAGATTGCATTGAAGATTCGTAATGTGTAGTTAGTGTGGTGCCTCGTGCGACGCGACCACGCTTTCCGTTCTTTGTGTATCCTTCATATCATCTGTCGAACAATCACAATATGGGCATTCGCCCATATGCATACATAATCATCGCGCAGTTATCTTATTTTGATAATGTTATGAGTCGGAAACGTATATGGAATAATTTCCAGGCGAAACATGGTAAATTGGGAGGTGAATGCAATCACGCCCACATCTCTCACTATCTACGGTACACAATTTACCATCGCAGTAGAAATTTTGTTTGATTACATGGTAGATTCTTCCTGGCAACCAAAATAAAATAAAAAAAAGAAGAAATTTCATTCACATGTGTACAGAATATTTGACCAGAAGTAATTTCTTCTCTATTTTTTTTAAATTTTAAAGCAAACATGTGTCGAAAATGTGTATTTGAATACCGTCACAGGAAATATAAGTAATACGGTTAGTATTACACCCATCCAATTACAAAAAGAGAAAAAATGTAGTGCGTCAAGCTAGATAAGTTTACGAAATGTGAAACACGAGTCTTCACGGAAACGAATTCGATAATACGCGTGGAATTGCCGTCGCTGTTGCTGTGTTTAATTGAAATTGAAATGTCAATTGTCGTGTGCGCGCGGCCCAACCTTTGAATATTTAAGGGTTTTCGGCATTCGCACACCTTTGCTGTCAGCAGTACTCGTCGGACGTCATCGACACAACGTCCGTTTATTGTATTCGAACGCCTTTGTGCGCCTCGTTTTTTTTTTACAACCGATTTTATTCGTGTATCTGCGCGTGTCCTTTTGTCCGCATGTTCGCGCGCTCGATATTTACTGGTATTTCAGTTTTGACGATAACGACGCTTAAAATCAGCGCGCTTTTTCGATCGGACGTTTTATGCGCCGCGCTCTTTGTACCGGCCGCCTTTTGTTTCTGCGCTCTGCACGAAACAAAGCACAACGAAATATTGCTGACTTATGCGTTTAATAATGTCATTCTTTTCCGTGCGGCTTTAATGCGCGATAATAAAAGCGTGAATTTAAGGGCACATATGCACTACTTCTGGGGGATATGCAGTGAAAATTAAGCAATCACGATTGTCTTTTGTGTGAATACAATTTCACGCATGGTTGATTCAACAGGCCGGTTAATTCCAGGATATTTCCGATTGTAAAACGCGTTTAAGTCTCGTTTTTGCACCAGATGTTCGCACCAATCTAGCTGAAAATTAACACGAATATGTTGCGCAATTTTTTCAACGTTTTCTAACCGCCGCTGGAGAAAATCGTGTGATGTCGACATCCTCTCACGACTAAACCGCGTGTAAATAAAAAATACCGCGTCGTGGCTCCGCTCACACACACACATCCACATCCATATGCATGCATTCGACTTAACGACTTTTTAACAATAATTTTCATTTATCTATTCATTAGCATTACTTATTTCCTCGTCGGTTCGTGCGCGCCGACGTAGAGTGAGTAGGTGTGCATTTTTTTTTATCGCCGCTCGCCCGTTTCGATGCGATTGCAACAGCAGCGCATATAAAACTTAATTCGATACCGATACGATGCGAGATATCCCCGCGCGCAAGAAATGCCGCGTTAGTTTGACATTATCGCCGCGTTCTACACGTGGCTACCTGATAGGTAACGAACCAATAATGACAACTGCAGCGCAATGACGGCTCGCGCAAACCCGCCGAAGAGAGGCGAATGAACCTAAATGTGTGCAAAAGCAAAAGCTTTGCTCTCGGCGCTCGCGCGCGGCTGAAAACGCTCTTCGAATGCTGTTGCACGCTGAACAAAGCGGGAACCGGCGGTTTATGACCGCGCGGACGATTTTCTAAAATACTTCCTTCGCCTACGTATCGATTAATAATAATTAACCGGCCGACTTGTCAGACGTGACCATCGACTAATCGTCGGCGGAAATCTGCGTTTGTCTTTCGCTGCGCGCGAGCGATGCAGGACTTCGTCACCAGTTGTGCACCTGATGCCGGTTTCGGTCGATTGCGCGCTCGACTTATTTAGTAAACGCTGTGCAAGTCGCGCATCGTCATGCGGTACAACAGCGCACTTCTTGCAGATTGTTCACTTGCAATCAACTCGCTGGACCTCAAGGCCCATTGCAACCGACAGGCGTCATGCTTAGCGTGGAGATGCGGACGGAGGACGAAGTCGAGTGTGAAACGTGGGCGCAAATTACTGAAAGCTATTACCACACAACGCAAGAAGTGAATGTAAACGAAGAAGTCGAAACGAGAATTTGTTCATATCGTGTTTTTTCTCGATGAAAATCTGGGCACAAAGCATAGCAGAAATAACGGTTCATGACGCGTAACGAGATAATCTTCGATGACCTTGCATTAATTGATGAATCTATAATCATAACTACCCTGTTGCGCGGTTCGTCAGCCCCGTCCGATCGTGTTATGCACGACGCGTTGTTTACGTCTAAGCATTTCGCTCGGCTGCTTCCTTCGGCGTGTTCGGTAGTGGTCAGTTTTCGTGTGGTTGGCGTTGGTCCGCGTCTGGCGTCGGTGTCGGTACCTTTTAAGGCCTGTTATAATGAGCCCGCAAGCGCGCATACGCGAACCTTAAAGTGTTCAGCCTGCTGCGGCATTTGCGACGTCGTTAACGTGCTGGACGCAGGGCGCACTCGAAGAAGAAGACGTGAAACGCGTCGTCGTCGCCGTGCGCATAACGAAGCGAATATTATCTGCACGCTGCTGCTGCCTCCGAGCGCATGTGCATCTATTTGCACATCGCCAATTACAATGAATTAGCATACGAGCTGCTGGCGATTTTTTTATTCTTCGGATTTTTTACGAAAACAGATCACATTCCAACATTTTTTTCAACGTGCATCCCCGATGGGAATACGTGGAGAAGAGAACAAGATCATCACAGGATATTTACATGCGATTCGAATGCAGGTTTGCGTCGTACATGCATGAAATGTGAATAAAATACAAATCCTGCTCCGGCGAGTACTTACGTCAACTTAACTGAGTGCGATACGAACACATCAGTGCGGTTAACGCTAAGTCAACTGTACTAAGCGCGCTTATGCGCGACCCGACGACATTACGTGATATATCTTATTTCATAGTTACTTCCAATCTTTTTCGCTCTGTGCCCGACGATGTGTCTCCGTCGGGCGCGACAGTTCATGCTCCGCGTTGCAAGGGTTTCACAACCTCACTGCATCCAGCTTCTTTATTTCTTGGAAGTGCCGCAGGAAACCATGCACCGTCACTTTTCTAACTCGCGCGTAGATCAAGACCATATTGGCGCGAACGCAGACGCAATGTGTGTTTCTTTGTTCAAAACGGGCGGTGGAAGGAAATTCCTTTGGAAATGGTAAAAACTGTGCTGTTAAGTTAACATCTAAGGTCGCCAACGACAACGATGCGCTGTATCTATATCATCCAGGCAGTTACATCTAGTGTTTCGCGCTTTTCTGTTACTTTCGAATGACTCATGCAGAGTCTCATCATTGAGTCGTTCGAAAATACGTCTCTGAATGGTGTCATCAACACGTTAAAAATATAAGATTTAATTAGTTTTATTGAAAAGAAACAATTTTACTGTTATTCACTTGGTTTTTCAATTGGCGACACTTTTTAACCACCCAAGATTTTAAGGTGTTTATCCCGATACGTGTACCGAAATAAATTCGCGAGTTTTATTGAAAATTTTATGGGGAACGCTGCGCCGTAATTTACCAACATTATGGTTACAGACGCAACATACCGAGTGTTAATAGCATACAGGATTTCAGACTTGGAACGAAATTTATGAGGGATAAACAGTGTAATTGTTTGTTATTGCTTCTTCGTATTCTAATTGCGTTTTCTTTTTGTTTCAGGTGAGTGCTGCGTCTCGTGTGTGGAGGAGAGATGTTGTGTGGTAATTCACGCATGAAATACGTGATGTTTTTTTTTTCGGTACTTACATGGCTTCTCCTTGTATAAATACTGTTTGAGCATGTAATTTCGGGTTCGTGTGGCGTCAAGAAACTCGTTTTGCCAGACACCGTTAAATTTTAACGAAGTTAAAAGAAACTAATAACGAAGCGAAAATGTCTCTTCTGCGTTTAAGTCCCTTCGGTTCTCCACACGTCTTAAATCTTAGCGCCTAAATGCCTCGAAAGTTTCAGAAACACTTTTCTCGCTGCGGTCATATTTTTCATACGTGTGTTTCGCCGAGATGAGGTCGTAATGTACGAAGCTTAAATTGGCGTAAAATTAAACACCATGGGAATGGTGACTGACATGATAATGAGCTTCCCGCGCAAAATATCGACGATTATAAAAATAGTATTGCGGCGCTCGGTTGCATGCCTACCTGAATTCTGATTAGTTTATTTGAATATTTGCACGCCGGCAATTTGCGTATCAAGGTCTCCATTTCTTTTTCATTTCCAATACTCGATTGTCCGAATACTAAATATACAATTATGAGTAACTGCGTTTCGATTTGGTCAGTACTTTCGTCCGAACAGGAAACGATCGCATTTATATCTACGGAAAAAGTTTCCAATCACTTTTGTATACGGTAATTGGCTAATTAATTATTACATTTACCAGACAGACTGTAAAGTAAAAAAAAAAAGTGAAACATTCCTGCGGTTTCGTGGCCCAGACAATAAGAATGAGCAGAAATTAAGAAATGCAAACTCAAGGATACCCCAACCAGCGCAGAAAAAAATAAGGACAAACTGACAGGCAGTTAATTGGCTGAAACTGCACACAGAGTGCAGACTGCCACAGTCCCACTCCATCACCGATGAAGAACGGTCGCCCAGGCTGAAATCGAAGCAGGAACTCGGTGCGGAGCATGTTCACTCATTGGTATCAGCGGAATCGCTGGAATTTTAATTGGCTTTTGTATTTTTGTGTGCGCCTCCTCGGTTCCATTTGTTTCGCGGGAGAACCGATGGCGCTGGTTTTTACGCGCGCGCGTTGCGCATTTTTCCGCTTATTCAATCGCGAGGTGCATTAAGTGAGCCGTGCGACGGCGCCAATAACTCGCCGCACGATGCCCTTCCAGATAATCCCACGCCGGGGTTCGCCCTGACTTTTCAATTTGTTTCCTTCCACCTGATCGGCAATGAGTCCCGAACCAACTAAAAAACAATGGGAACGAATTGCTTGCGAGGAGCATAAAGCAAACCGCACCTATTTTTCTGCCCACCAGCTTCGCCAGAGTAACAAATGGCCCTTAAACTATCCGCAAATTTATTTGTTTCTCATATAATCTCGACCTAGATAAAAATTTTATATTAAAACTACGAAATTTGAAGTAATTCTTGAATAATTCGTAATTTTACGCGTTTAATCTAATAAGCAGAGAGGTCAAATGCAGCTTTGCGTGTAAAACATAAAGGAATTATAAATAAACAAAGGATCAAGATGTAGCCGTGGATGTGGCTGAGTTACGAAGTGAAAAGAAAGGTGTAGGATGCAAACCGGTGCTCTTACCTACTCACATGTGAGCCATCACAAGCACGTCGCGATGTGTGGGTGTCCTCACAATGGAGTGACCGGCCCTTTTTCACAACGAGATAATTAAGCGCTTTTGTTCCGTCGTGAGCTCGCATGTTCGACGAAATTGATGTTCCACAAAAACGATACTGCACAAAGAGACATTACATGGATAATGCAGAATTATAAGATTCGAAAGTAAACAAACGCGGCGCATTCTTCTTAAACAATATCCACACTAACACACAGAAAAAGAACGCATTTAATAATACGTTCGGTTTAATTCGCCGGCCGGGGCTGGTTGCATGGCATAATTATAAAAGTCATTTACAACGACTTAAATGAGAATGATGAGGATGACTTGATGGAATGCGCGCTGCATTCTCCTCGCGCCGTTGAGATTTCGTACACTCGCTTTTGATGCTCAATAAGAACTCTCAAAGTACGAAATTAACATGATAAGGACGCGGCTGCGGCTTCTTCACTTCCAGCGATGGCCCGAGATGGATGCTTATCCCCTCATCTCGTTCCACCTCGTCACAACTGTCACCAAAGAATGCATGAAACGAGACGTTGATGAGCTTGTTGTGAACACGCATTGATCATACAATAAAACTCGTTGCATTTTTGGCGCAGTCATCCCGACTCTGGCCACTTATTAACAGCGTGGATAATTATTACCAGTATTTCTGTTTATTTAGGGTGGCTTTCCAAATCGAGGGTAAACTCTGTATCGGCCGCTTCTGTTTCGATTGGTGTTTGTGTTTCAATTACTTATCTAGCCTAGGGGATTCTTTGACGTTTGCACGAAGCCGTATGATCATCGTTCACAAGTCGAATTTTCGGCGACACGTGCTCACATCATCGTCGATCAAGCGGGCGGCTTCTCTACTCCTTACTATAACTCAACTCAACTCAACTCAACTCACTGCCCTTACATTTGTTTGTACAATCGAAGGGTTTTTGCCATTCTTTTTCTCTTTGGTTGTCTTCGAAGCATGTATGACATTGAAATTGTAATGATCATTAAATTAATGGATCTAATAGGATGGTGGTTCATAATTTGTCGGGATCATGCACTCACCCTATTTATGACTGTATAATTTTACCTAGACCTGGGCATTTTTGATGGCTCCGACCCTCATTTTTCGTCTATTCGGTAGCATGAAATTCTCGCTTGATTCGTGAGTATTTATGAGGGTTCTGAGTCATTCCAGCCCAATAAACTAGGTGAATGATTTCATTTCGTCGGAGTCATGAGCCGAATTGATGGATTATCACAACCCTCGGCGCCAATGTAATCAATATATTAAAATATGGCCTGCGCAAAAACAGAGCATGTGTTAACAGCGACACGTTCGGTGCAGTGTATCAGATTAGCACGTATGCATTCAAATAACACCGTATTGCTATCAGGAACGTGATTAACGCACGAAAATATTACTTTACCATAAATAATAATGGCACAACCGCTATAATGAATTATGGCCATGTGGACATAGATAGAGGGAACGTGTCTGTGGTGAATAATCGCGCATAAGTGCAGGATGATATTCGCTCGCAGAGTGCATCGGCAACAATTCGAATATTGATCTGTTTTTCCTGAAAACTTTCCGGAAAACAACACAAACAACTGGCTTTCTTTTGCCGCGCTGTATGCCTTGCCAACTCGGGGACAGCGCGCCGTCTGAAACGGAAATACATATCTATATTCTATCCCGTGTTTACGAGGATGCCAAGAACTGTCGAGAAAGAAGGACGAGGACGTTGGGTAGTTCGTGCGAGGGGTGGAAAGGTCATTGCCTGAAAATTGGCACATTGCCATAGGTTTTCAGCATGCCACGAATTGTTGTACAAACATGTGGGGACGGTTTTTTTCGGCTCTTGACGCTGACAATGATGGAGGGACCATATCAGTAGAAAAATGCGTTTTGTCAAGTGTAGAGAAGATTTTTGCAAGAAACAAGCTGATAAAATGTTTTGTTTAACATTGGAAAATTTGACTAATTCAAATTCTGCGTAGAAGATGACGAAATCAAACACCTCGCAGTAAATTATCAAATTTTTCGAGCTCATTTCTCGGAACTATAAGCAGTAGTAATTCAAGTATCATGTTTACTTAACATATTTGATTGTGCTTCAAGTTTGTTCTGATATCATTAAGTCAACGAAAACTTCGTATTCCAGGGATTTATAAGCTACTAACTCCCTACAATCATGGCAGTAATTAATTTATTAATCAAATCTGCGCATTTAATATGATTTGTCGCGTTGTAATCCCATAATTTACTCCAGCGGATAAAACATTTTTAATGGCGCCTTATTCCAGACACTGTTATAAACTTTACTGTGACAATCACATTGTATAAGTAGAAGCCGAGCAACATTCTCAACATCAAAGACCGGATAATTAATTTTATTGATTCGGCGCTTACAAGCGCTGAGGGCACATCAGTTCACAGCAAATGAATATAATCTAGTTAAATTCAATTTCTAATGAAATCATATGTACTACAGCCCGCTGAATGTCGGAAGGTCAATGGTCAATATCACAATTTGAGCGTCCAAACGCACACATTCTAACGCCCCGATCCGTCTGTATTTGCAGTATGTGACAAGTTCACCACTCCCAATGTCACACGAAAAAAATTATTCACTTTGTTGATTTTACCAGCGACGAAAAACAAGCCGGAAAAAAAATCTCCTAGAACTGTTTGTACACGGTTTATGATACGCTGGGTACACACTCAAAATTATAAGAACAGACATGTTTACTTGCTCATCATCATTATATCTTTCCGAATGATTAAATAAATTGAGAGTATATTGATCTTCGCGTGTATTTACGTTCCGTATTTTTCGTAGTCCAATCTACTGATCGTGCACAAGTTATAAGTTATACAAATAAATGCGCTTTAAGTGCTTTTTCAAAACGCACGCGCCAAGACGCCAAGAACGAACGCCCAAGTCACCAGCGTCAAGTCAGAAATAACACACAAGCATCATGCCCATTAGAAGCACGTTGCGGCAATAATCTTGCCGAAGTGCCGCGCACGCCCCGGTTGTGAAGTGCCCTTTTTATTTATTAATAATCCACATCTTGAATGTTCGGTTCCGATCCAGGCCTCTCTCGTACGCGGTAGTAGTTCTATAGCCGGGCTTCATGTTTTCTTATCGTTAAACGCTATAATAAGTACTTGGGCGCGTGATTCTGGAGAAGTTTCCAAAACGCGTGCTACGCGGGCCCTCAGCGAAGCAAATTACGCCCGAAGAGCTCGAACTTAATGCGTCAGGAAGTCACTTATCACGTTAAAGCTTTTGCGTGGCGTGTGGTTCGGTCAATATTAGTTTATATGTGCATTTTATTTATTCGGTCGTCGAAATGACTTGCAATGAACTTCAGACACTGTCCGCAGCCCATAGCCGCGCCCGTCTGGCCGCACAAGTCGTGCGCTTTACCTTAATTCGTCTTAATTAATTAAATTGAAGTGCGACCGCAGTATAACACCAGTCAGTCGGCCCTTGGAATTGTCGTGCGGCTCGTAAAATAAGTCTAAGTGCCAGTTACGCCAGTCGCCAATCAGGAAAGTAGCGGGTTGCTAGTTTTTGGTGAAGGGCGCTTCCCAACGCCATTAAATTGATACACGATTTTTAAGAAGTACCTTTAGATAAAGATAAAGTTGATGGAGAAAATTGTATTTCCACTTTATGAATGATTTATTACCAGCATGCTGGAACGGATGTACAATGTTCACGTCAGCAATTACCGGCTATCTTTTAAATTGTGAAACATCTGTGATTTCTGACAGAATCAATAAAACAGACGCTTTGTGTGGTATTGACATGTCAAAAGCATACATTGGCAATAGTTGCGCAACCGTTTACCAATCATTATTGTAATCTTCAAGCACCGTTGAAGTATTCAATTTCTTATATCAGACAAAGTGGAAATCTTGATAATTTATCGCAATATTTTATTGTTGAGGTAAGCAATTGTTACCTTGTTGTTGTTTCACGTAGCGTTGAATCACGGACTTTCAAAGAATCTTTCGTGTTTCATTTCCCGCCAATAAATTGCTCACCGCATGAGTCGCTAATTTAAACTGACGAGGAAAGTGCAACAGCGCTGATGAATAAATTTCGTTGCGCTTATTATTAATGAATAAACGTAGGCATTGACTTGCATAAATTACACGACGAATTGGACGAAATTACCGTAACATGCATATTCAATTACCGATAATTATAAACTATGCCTGGCTCGGAGGTACGTTCATTAGCATCATTAACCAATGACCATAACTTCATGCCGAGAGATTGCGTTATCCCACAGATATTTTGTTTATTTTTATTTTTATTCGTTTCGCTTTAAAATAAAATCAAACTGAATGACATCAGTTTAGAAAATGTGTGAAAAACTTAAGTAAGAGGTTTGCTCATTGACTGGCAATACCGGTTTTGTTATTTGTGGGTTTTGATTTTTCTCATTTGAAAATTTCATACCGACATGTGCGTGCCAGGCGACATACCCAACTGGCGGTAAATCGGCGGATTGAGTTGTCGACCTAATTTTACGCAAATAGCACGCGCATTCCTAAAAACAAGTAGTGAATTCATTGGGTACCGTGTTGCATACACCACATACGCACAAAGAAAAGGATCGGCGACATCGACACTAAATCTTAACATTAATACACGCAATCCCGAAATATTTCGGTACGGGTCACATGAAATTATTGCTTCGACGGAATTTAATGTGTGTCGAATGGTTTTGCGCTCGCAGCGTGCTTATTTCTGTTTTTATTTGTTATTATTAGTGTTGTTTTCTAGCTATGCTCTATTTTCCATATCGTATTTACAAATTGATTACAATTTAGGTCAATTTGCTTCCACGTTTAAAGTAAATTTAACTACTCACGACGCACAGCAAATAATTAAATGGAGCACACCTAAGGAAACATTACTTTCGCTTGCTCGTAAAATATATTTTAGGGGACGCTTTAGTCACGCTGCAGGCGTAATTTTGGCGTTATTGTTATTCAAACACGTATTTCAACAATAGCCGGTAACTTTTTAATGGAGTAAATTGGAAACGTCGGCATAAACTTCCGGTCGGGATGACCCAAATGAAACTTGTCACAATACACGATATTCATGCGATGTGCGTTATCAAGATCAATCATTTCGATACTTTAAGCGTTGTTCAAATGTTAGCTGGCAAGTCTGGGCGTTTATTTAAACTTCTCATCGATTCGCTTTATTATCGCTCGCATTGGTCCATCACGCTGGCTCACGGTTATCTCGCGTTTCCTGTATGATTATACGCGTTTACCAAATGACACTAAAGCGGCTGCCGCTGTAAATTCGTCGACGATAGGCATCGTCTTCCAATCGGCTGCAATCTGCATTATGAGCGCACCTCTCGACGTCCAGAGGAGAGTTGAAAGAAACTTATGACGCAGTCCGTTGCACTGCCTATCGCCGTTTGCCATCTTTTAGTGGATCGCTGAGGTCTCTCTTTGGCTAGACCAGGCGCATTTCTCTCATGCCGGAAAATACACAGCTATCGCTTCAGAAATAACAAGGAACTGCGCAGTCTCTAGCTCCTTAAAACTCCAGCGTGGCTTTTAAAATTTTTGCCGTTCTTTGTACCCGTTCGATGCTTATAAGGTGTTGCTGGCAACGTTACCCATTTCCTTTTTTTACCTCGACTACAGCCGTGTATAAGGTCATTAGAAGCAGTAACCCAAAGGTCGTCGATATTTAAGTAGATAACAGGCGTCTTTTACAGAATACGTGTATATATTTTCGTTCTACAAGTTCCCAAGTTTTTCTAGCATGCGGGGCAATGGCATTTCTAACAATCCGCCCTATATCCCATGACGCACCCTGAATTCTCTCAACACTCGACTCACTCGGCCTAATTCCGTGCGTTCTAATTTGGTTCCTGCAGAATTCGACCGATCGCGACGATTCACACCCCAAATTCGCGTTTGTCCGAATGCATGATTTTCGGACGGGTCTTTTATTCGACTCTGGCATGCGATGTGTCAAAAGTTGATGTATAGATCTATAGGATGGTCTGCAAATAATCTAATTTTAACCATTATGAAAATGGTTTTATAGTGGGATGAAATTTTGTTATTAGTACAATTAGGTAAGCAAGTGATATATTTCCAAGAAAAATTTTACGAGTGTGTACCTTTTAATAAATACCTAGGTATATATTTTTTATCATCACTGTAAATATTTGAATAACTAACGACAGGGCTTAGGCTTGTTTGTTATTTGTAATTACGCAAGTTACTGATAAGCGGTGTTATCACCTGCATATGCGGTTGTTATGCTCATCTAGATCGTCTTTGGTTGTAGAGAGTTTCATAACTATTGATGCACGTTTTCATTTTCTTGATTTTTGGGGCTATAACTGAATCACTTTCCGAGTAAAGTGAAGCCTAATGCTGATGAATGGGCACTAGGAATGATGGTCGTCAATGTACTGTGAAGGACGACTGTGCTGCACATTAGATACATTCGGAAAGGGAAATGGAAACGTATTAGTTTCCCTTAGTGCAATTCAATTCATTCGCAACTTACGACTGCATGCGTAATGCGTTCATGCGATTTATGCAGTTTTTATTCAAGTTACACATCCGAAAGTGATGTATTCTATTTCCTGCCATTAATATTCCATGTCGTATATAGATAATAATTCTTTTAAATTTAATTTTCAGGTTACTGGTCGGTGCTCCTCTAGGGAATAATTTGCAACCGGATACGGTACGTTCCGGGGCTCTGTTCAAATGCCCCATTTCGACCCTTACTAAAGATTGCAAACAAGTGGAAACCGACGGAAGACGACGTAAGTTTTTCCCTTGACATTAATCAGTACTCTAGGTCAAATTGTCACTTGTATACATATAATAATATTCGATTTAATTACAGCGAGTTTATACGAATAGTAGCAATATTGTGTCGAGAAAGCACTGTAAATGATTTGCAAATTTCAGTGAACATATTGAACATATGCTAATGCGATGTTTTTGATCTTATTAGACAATCCCATAGAGATTTAGCGAATTAGTAGTATCAAAAGTATTTTGATTTGATTCTATATACTCACGTAGAAAGTGTTGCGAACGAATCTGTTTTTATTTCCGACTTCTTTCAAATTTGAATATTTCGGAGTTACATACATGAAATTAATTGCCTACTGTTTATTCGTCGTCGACGGCCTAGGTGGCTGGATGTCCACAGCGATACTGACTTATATTTTATGTTTTTTTTTTGTTACAAAAACGAATGTTGCTTAAAAATGTTCGTTCTCATACGGTGTACGATTGTCTCACACACACACTCTCTCTGTATGAATCGTCCAGTGCCGAGCGGTCTATACAAGCGTAAGTTGTTGGTAAATGTGCAAAATCTTTATATATTTTTTTAATTAACTTCATCATTATCATGGCCGATGATGAAATTTTTTCATTTTTATTTTTTGCTGCTCGAATCACGAAACCGATCGAATAATCCGATTGCCAATGCCGCAGTTTTTTTTGCAAAATTCAGCATTTATCTTTGGATCTTTTTCTCTATCTCTGCGACCTGCCATGGTGTTGGGTGATTTGTTTTGACTTCTTGTTGCATGTGCTAACACCCCAACGGTTTTATTGCCTGCGTGTTGGTTGAGCTTTTGTGTGCATGTTGTCTCTAACTTTGTGCTTGAATTGTATAGTTGTATAGTTTATGTGTATTGTTTGTGCGATATGCTAAATTATTACAAAGTGTGTCAACTCAGTACATACACATCCATATCCTCGATGATTATTGCCGGCAATACAAACATTCAACGTGAAACTGCTAAATCCACATCGCACCTACAACGTGTTAAGTACGAATGTTTGTTTTGACTGGTGTTTTATCGATGTGAGAATCCAGTAAAAATTATACGCGCCCATTCCGAATTGCCGTCCGAAATGCATGTTGCGTGGGAGTATACATACACATCGTACTGCACGCGTAGAGCCTGCATCATGCAACGGTATATTTTGGGCGTTTTGGTACTGAAATACATCAACAAACCACGAATAATACATACAAGAAGTTTAATTCATGCCGCTAGGGACCGCAAACAACATAAAACTTGCACACGTCGCACCTAAAAACTCCTCGGAGGACAATTGTCAGGATTCACATTCAGCTAGCGATATACAAACTGGAATTATTTTGAGTGAACGAAATAATTGCGCGCACGCAAATGGAAACAATTCATTTTGTATGTCAGCGGTTATTACACGATTACTTAATCACAATACATTTTCGATTGAAATTAAAAGGATAATATTTAAGCTCTTTAATATATTAATTTGCTATAGACATTTATTAACAAATAACTTAAATAACTAGTCTAGATAATGTTAATAATAATAATAATCCAATAAAAACGCATTTAATCATCGAAGTAATCTTGACTTGACATGATTGAATATAACAATACAATAATTACATAATAAAATAAATAATATAAAGTAGGTTAATAACGATAACGTTAGGAAGGTAATAAAAATTAATATCGTTTTCAATTAAATCACATTTAAACGTAATTTTGCTAACCACGCAACTAAGAATTTTCAGTTTCAAGACTTCCCATGAATCTAAAGATGAATAGAAAGGAACCGAAGCGTAGTGTTGGATTGATGATTGTCTGTAAATTAAATTGCATCAGAAATCGAGGCACATTGCACATTGTAATCAACAATATATGAGTCGATTGTACGACGATAGATCCAATCGAATGTGACATGTACTGTATTAATTAGTTACTTGCATCTCCTCCTATCGACTTATGCTGCATCAGTTATCGCAGTGAAGGATTGACGAATGTTACAGCTGCACACAACCGCAAACTACTAAATGCACACACTTTAATAATTTGATTTTGTTCATGATGTTATGTACATATTTTTGAATGCATTTGGCATATTATTGTATATTTTTGAATTAAATTAACAACTGCCTAAAGTACAACATCTCGTTCAAGTTAAAAATGAAATAAAACACGTTGACACTCACACGTGAAGCCATACAAATGCGAACTCATTTTCATTTGGTTTGGTGTGGTAACGCTGACAAAGGAAATATGAATTTTCTGTATTCAGCGTGTTTTGAGTGGAGATTTTGTATTTTGTGAACTTGCATCTTAAATATTTGTAAATTTTAACTAACAAAGATTTGCAACCAATTTAGTGTGGGTCTTTCTTAATTTTGTCGTCGTAATTGTAGCACAAGATAAAGACGTCTTCTACGATGATCTTCAAGAGGAAGATAATTCCTTAAAAGGGCCGGGTCCGGATGAAATTAAAAATGGGCAATGGCTTGGGGTGACTGTGAAGTCTTCAAATCCTAGCAATGGGGGGAAAGTGCTGGTTTGCGCTCATAGGTACATCAAGAGTCCGCAACTTAACGACACACATCATGGGTTGGGTCTGTGTCACTTATTGAATGCATCTTTGGGGTGGGAGGAAGCTTTGGAGCCTTGTGAAGGCAAACCAATGCAAAAGTATGTAATTTCTAATAATTAATTTTAAAGAAAGTTGTGTTTAACTGGTCGTAATCAATAGTGAGCATCTGGAATACGCGTATTGCCAAGCCGGAACTTCTTTGGCATTCCTGGAAGATGGCACTGCGTTAATGGGAGCGCCGGGTCCCCACACGTGGAGGGGTACAATATTTGCCAAGATGACGGTTGGAGACTTTCTCAGTCGTGACAAGAACTTTTACTCTAGTCCTCTGAATCAACTCTCGGAGCCAATCGACAAGTACAGCTATCTGGGCATGAGTGTCACCGGCGGGCGCTTCTTTGACAAGCACAAGATCACTTACGTTTCAGGCGCTTCTCGAGCTAATCTAACAGGGCAGGTCTACTTTATCGAAAAGATCAAAAATAGTAATGAGATGGCCATCCGGCTTATCCTCAAAGGCGTACAGGTTGCGTCGAACTATGGCTACGAATTATTAGCGGCAGATGTCAATGGAGATGGCTATGATGATCTGCTTGTAGCAGCGCCTTTCTTCTTCAATAACACCGTGGGTGGGGCCGTGTACATCTACTATAACTTGAGGGCCTGCACAGCGAATTATACTTGTACGCCGGATCAGATCCTAACTGGCAAGGAGGAGTCTCGATTTGGTTTTGCAATGGCTGCATTAGGGGACATTAATAAAGATGGTTACAATGATATTGCTATCGGAGCGCCGTATGAGACCTATGAGGCTCAGTCACACTCCGGTGCTATTTACATCTACTTAGGTAACCATGATCAACTGAATCAGAAAGAAGCGCAGAAGATCTCGATACCTCAGTATACAACAATTGGGTACTCCTTGAGTGGAGGAGTAGATATGGATGGAAACGGTTATCCGGATCTCCTCACGGGTGCCTATAACGAGGATACTGTCATTCTTTTTAAAACTAGACCAATTGTCGACATTGAAATCGATGTGCAGGGTGAAGAAATGCGAAATATTGACGTGACTAAAAAGGGGTGCAAGGCTGACCCAACAAGCACACATTCATGGTAGGCCATCTTCAATATGTTCCTAGATTTAGTTTCGATCTACATTGTGAAATATTTTTAGCTTCTCGTTTGCAATTTGTATTCGGACCAATCGAGGGAGGCCCCCCAAAGAGCAAATGTCCTATGAATTGAAAGCCGATTGTTGCAAAACAAAGAGGCAATACATTCGCGTGAAACTTAACAGCACATCAGAGAGCAACATATTGACGCAGGATTTTAGGATGCATAAAAATCCTACTTGTCGCAGTCACACTGTTTACATCAAAGATGGTATCCGTGATATTTTATCACCTATTGAAGTAAGTGCTTATGCTTTTACAATTACTTACGATGGCCTAATGTTAATTTATTTTGGGTATAGTTCAGCGTAAATTATCAGTTACAAGACACTCCCCATTCGCCAATTTTGAATCAAACTTCAACGAAAGATTTCCAGGCAACGTTCCTCAAAGATTGTGGTAGCAACGAAGTATGTGAAAGTGAGCTCAAAGTATCTGTGGGTCTGGCAATAGAACGTAAATATATTGAAAAGCGATTCATTTTTCTTGTTGTACATGTGATTCTTTTATTTAGCAATTGATCCAGAGAACAACTATTACGCTTTGGATTTAGGCAATGTTGAAGAACTGAATGTTCAAGTGAACGTATCCAATGAAGGGGAATCTGCGTATGAGGCACAATTACTTATCATTCATTCGAAAAGTCTAAGTTACATTGCTCTTAATGATAAAATGGTAAGCACAGAAGAAGAAAAATCGATGACGCGTCTTCTACTTCTTTTGTTGTTGCTCTTCTTACAGGGGGATATTAAATGTGTTTATCACAACGATACATGTATCGCCTGTAATTTAGGGAATCCATTTGGAAAGAAGAAGACCGAGGACAAGAAAGAGGTTCACTTAGGACTTCGATTTGAAAATCGTAATAACGTCAACAATGATGGTATCCTCGAATTTCACGCAAAAGTAAACACCACATCAAATATCACGACAACGAGTGTAACGTCGGCAACTGCCAAGGTGGCGGTGAAGATGACTCCCAATATCAAAATTGATACATACGGCACGTCGTACGTTAACTATGGTGGTAGGGTTCAAGGAGAGTCGGCGTTTAGGTACTTTGATGAAATCGGTTCCCGCATTAGTCATCGTTATCAAGTGACCAATGAGGGCAAATGGGCAGTCAGTAACTTGGAGGCATATATAGATTGGCCAATTCAAATTCAAAGCTCAAGGGCTGAGGGGAAATGGTTGCTGTACTTAGAAAGTACACCACATGTCGACTTTGAGAGTACGCAGATCAAGTGTGAAATCATGGCGCCCCACGTTGCCAATGAAAAGAATTATACAAATCGCCCTAGTATGTCACCCGAAAACTTAGAAATGTCTCCATTGTCATCCTTTGATACACAGCCGCCACCATTCAATACGCGCAATCGTCGTAGCGTTGAAGGAAATCAAGAGGTCGAAGAAGACATAATGCCAGCGCGACTAATGCTCGGTTCTGGTGAATTAATAAAAATAATTACACCTTTGTAAGTAATCTTGAAATTTATTCATAAATATGGGACTTAGATTAACTATTGAACTATTTGAATTCAGGATTGTGCAACTGGCACGGCAAAATGTGCCAAAATCAAGTGCAAACTGCCAACTATCCCAAGCAACACTGGTGCAACTATAGAAATTGCATCCCGTCTTTGGTATTCCACACTTCTCGATGATTTTAGCGACAAATCTGCGGTAGGAATAATTTCCAGGATGTTTATCACTTCAACATTGCATACTGGGGAGCCCATAAAGGACAATCATGCAATGGTATGAATCATGTTAATTAATCGTCAATTTAATTATAATTCTTTTATATTTTCATCACATATTAATATGACATTTTTCATTGTAGGTGATTACCAACGCCTCGTCGACCGTGACAATACCCGAAAAATCTATTCCGTGGTGGATAATCATTGTAGCTAGTCTTGCAGGTGTATTAATTCTAGCCTTGTTTGTGTGGGCGCTTTATTGTTGCGGCTTTTTCAAACGTTATCAACCGCCAACAGAAACTGTTCAGACAGACAAGCAAACCTCCGAAGAGGGGCGAGGTTTACTGCACAAATAATTAAGTATTTCTTATTTTCATAAATAAGGAGTACTTAACTGAACTGTAGTAGTCAGAACAAACGACTGGATCTTCGGTGAGGTTCAGGGACGAATAACTATTTAAATTGCAATTCAAATACTATAAAAAATATACAAACGGATTTCGGTTATACATTGACGAATCGACGGGGATAAATTTGATTGTATATTTGTTTGCAAATTAATAGTTATGTAGGGATTATCTGTGATTTTTCAAGCAGCCACTAACCATACATCGCTATATGTTCATGATGCGGTAATCTAGCTCTTAAGATTTGGTGCAAACGTACATAAAGGGGGAGTGTTCAGATGAACGTGGATATTTATCTACGCAGCTACACGGTAACATCAAGTTCATTTTAAATGTTGTTACACGCATTTGCAAACTTTGTATGAATGGGCATACATTTAAACTGCCATATTGTATATTTACCCTCCATTTTTCCTATTTTCCTACTATTTATTCCAAAGTAAACTTACCACTCCCAAGTTTTGTTGGTGTTCGTCTCGGCGCGAAGCGATTGTAATAATTTTATTTATCGTATTAAAGTATTTGGTTAAGATTACATTTAAAAAATTTATTTGTACTTGTATAAGAATTTGTAATAAAAATATTATCTGTTATACCAAAAGTGCTGAATCCTAGATTCGCTCGAAGGAGTATACATAAGTATACATAAATGCTAAGTGCATAAACGCTATATTGATGCCTTTCCCAATTAAATCGGGAAAATAAATGGGTCCGATAATAATCCATGAAGTAAAATGGGCAATTTATCTATTTGCATTTTTCAGCAGGAATTTTTCATTTCGATTCTCTTGTAAATTGTTTCGAAGAAACTTCAATGAAAGCAAAGTTTGTGCTGGTGTCTTGCGTTCCTTGCGATTTCACGTCGCACTGGAATTCGACCGGTTTTTGCTTATCTCTTATTGCCAGTTGATACGCGTACGATAGTAGTGTATAGTTTTGCACTATATACGTGACCGGGTGATGGCACTGCGTGTATCGTTTGCTCACGCTGCAGAAATAATACTAGTGTTGCCGTATCGGACGGATGGTTCGCACGCGTTTTTCGCGATTATCCTTTCTTAGGATTCAATTCCGTAACGCGTATTATATTCGGCGTTCTTAGTGATTATAACGGTCAATTGTGTCTCGCTAATTATTTATCGCGTATAAAATGTTCGCGGAATGCAATGTTTTCGTAGTTTTTCGTGATGGAAGTGCCATCGGAGATGTGGATTTTGGATTTTCATCCAGCTCATTTCCGGTGGAAGTTTTCCCGCACTACTACCCAGTAAGTAAACTTAATAATAATCTCACTGATTCAACACATGCTTTGTTTCTGTCGGTTGTGTTATTTTATTATCATGTTTTTATCGTGTGTGTGCACCATGTTCTTATTTTTTATCTTCCGCTGATCCGTGTACGATCGTCGTGACTCGTCAAATTCTTTTCGGGGTATGGGTGACTACGGTAAATATGAGAATCTCCTCGCAGCAACCGATTTTTCAAGTTTTAGACCTTTTCGCGTTTTAAGTCTTTTTACCCCATTAAATTAAATTATTTTAAATTTCCATCTGATAGAGAATTTTCTAATCATCCATAATCTACTACAGCGATTAATTGTTTATCACACGCATGCACGTAATGAGAAGCGGCCCGTTAGTACGTATGTATGTAAACGAAACAACCTAGCACTACCTGATATGTTTATTGTTTATTGTACAAAAAATTAAATTAATCATTTATTAAATACTGGTTTGTTTCGTGTATGACTTTCGTTGTTTTCAATTTCGTTGCAATATCAATATTGTAGCATATTTGATAAATTGTTTTGAATATTTTAAGTTGATAAATATTTTCAAAGGTTAGATGGCACTACGATGAACGGTTTTGCATTAAATATTGCTTGTTGGTGGTAGTGAGTGCACACCGTGTCCGTGTGCGATGACGAGATTTCGCGCAAGAAATAAGTTTGTTTACCTGCAGGTATCGAATCTTTATTTCGTGGAATCAAAACACACCGTTGCTGTTTATTATATGAGCCGCTTATTTTGAAAGTGGCCTAACTCCATTTATCTTCAAATCGAGATATTGAAAGTTTTGCATTTCAATGAATTTAAAATATACGTATAAGATACAAAGGAGTCATACTGCTAAAGCATATCTTAGGATGTTAAATTTAAAGTTCCTGTTAAAATAGTGGCAATTATTAAGTAAATAACGTGCGTTTCCTTATCTAGAATGGAGTTGGGCCACTTTCAAAATTAACAGCCAGATTCATTATAAAATTTGAAGATGCCCAAGTCCATTCAACATAATTTAAGATGTTTCAAATTGAAGAAAAAAAACGTCTTCGTTTCACAGACAGCTTCGTGAAGTAATACATTTTGTTTGTTAAAATCTACCAAACCCCAAAACTTCTCAAAAATATTCTTTCTTTCTTCTTCATTATAATTTTTTGTGCACGCATTCCGACAACCACAATCTTTGTTTTCGAAATTTTTTTCATGAACAATACTTCCGGTTTAACTGCAATATCTTTTTCCTGAATTCCGTTTTATCTTTCGCACTTTTTAGATAGGTATATGGTGCATCACTCTTTTCTCCATTGTTATTTGAATCTTCATCCTTTGACGAGGAATATTGTTCTATAATTCTTTTTCTTATTCGCTTTTTTTAAAATTATTAATTACTATTTCTTCTTCACTATTTGAACTAAGTGGTCTTCTTCTGTTCTTCCTCATGGGTGCAATAATTTCTATAATTTAATATTAAATTTTAAGTTTTATATTAATTAAACGTACAGGTTAATTAACTAACGCAATTGTCCCAAAAATGAGGTGGACTTGTAAATACTAATTAATTGAAATTACCTTCATCGCTGCTTTCCGACATTATCAATAGTAAATACCTTGATGTAACTATAAATGGAGTTAGGCCACTTTCAAACCACACGGGTCAGTTATTCAATTAATTCGGAAAACCTATGTGTAAAAAATGTACCGTATTTTCTCTGAATATAAGCAATCTGAAGTGCGTCACTGATAAATAACATGAAGTTGTACATGTAACCATGGTAACCGGCAAAAAATTGAAAAACGGAGTTAGGTCACTTTCAAAATAAACGGCTCATATTAGCATTGTAAATTTAAGCAAATATTCTTTCATAAATATAACTAATAATTTTATATTAATTCTAATCGTTTATTATAAATGTGTTACCTGGTAAACGAGAAACGATGTATGTTCAAATTAAATATCACTTAAATATTTAATGTAAAATCTGGCAATCTGTGTGCATAAGAAATCAGAATCTCGAATTTAAATTTTTATTACCTTTACTAATCTAAATTTTGTAACTTCTGTATCATTTATAGATGGCAATAGCGTGGACTAAAAATTGTAAAATAAACTTGTATTGTTTATTTCTATATTTATCAGCAAGCGTAAACGTTCGACACAAGAATTATTTGTTTGAACGCAGAATACACTTTCTTATCGCATTGCCGTGTGTCCTGTTCGTCAGCACCCCATGCCGCATGCTGCTGCATCTTAGTTTAGTTTTGATCCCAGGTAAAGTGCCAAATGCAATTCGCGCACGAGGTCGCCTGCCATCGACGCGCTGCCGGGTTTGCGCATCTATTGCAATCCGCGCACAAAGTCGCGTGCAATCGACGCGCCGGCCTCGCCGTTGCTTATGCAGTTTGCGGGCAGTTTCGATCGGCATCGAGACGTATTTTGCGCGACTCGTATCGTTTATTCGGACTTCTACTTTCCAATTCGTATTATAGTCGATCATCAATCGACTATTTAATTTTAACTTGACTTTCGTAACTTTAGTACAGTTATTTATTATTTGCGCGTAAGTGTATCGCGGCCATGTTAATGTATTCTTCACTTGGATGACCCAGCGTGCTGATGTAAGTAAACAGCACAGATTGTTTGTTTTTCATCGCTGTGTGAATATAATATTACTTATAATATTTCTTTTTTTTATTTACAGTATTTGCCCTGCCCTTTAGTCTGATGAGTTCTGCATTGGTAAGTTTATAATTCAATTATATATTTCGTTTTATTTACTTTGCATTTACGTGTTTTTTTGTCGCTGTTAAAAGCCTTCTACTAAAGCGATAGCATTAAATAATTTAATTTTTTTGTTATTGGGAGTAACGTCTAACAAACTTGGGCGCGGAGACCAAATATGCAGAATTAAATTCTCTATCCGGTTGTATTTAATTGTTGCAAGAAAAGCGCTTATACGATACGATTTATGGTTTAATATTGGAAACAAACTTGTAAAACGCAGCTTGTGTACAAAACTGTAAGATTTGTTTTAATTTTACGTGATGGAAACATGATGCAGTATTCTTTTGCCCATTCTTCCTTATTGATTATTATTTTAAATTACCAATTTAACAAGCTCATTTGATAGAGAATTGTCCGTAGATTAAGACGCTGCGATCAGATCCTATTTATCTCTTTTAGTTTACGAGATATTCGCGATTGAATAAAATGGGCAAAAATTGCAAAATGTCACTTTTTAGCACTTTTAGTCGCGTTTTTCGACCTTTTACTGTAGGAAATATAATTATTTTATATTTGTATCTGATAGAGAATTTTCCAATCTTTCATAATCAACAATTCGTTGGTAGCTATCTCTTTTAGTATAAG